CTCTTGAACCAAGGAAGTCTGGTGTGTGGCATCCTCTGCCAACTTCTTTTGTGTTTCCTGTGCAGGGCTCAGGCTCTTTGGCATTTGCTAGGTTTAGATGGTTATGAAAATGCCTGATGAAGGACATGCATTGGGGGCCTTCAAGAGATTTGTCTCTTAAAGCTTTAATGTCCTCATTCCTTCCACTTACCAAGGATTATGAAGGTTAAGTTACAGTAAGGTCTCACTATGTGAAATGTTTCCCCTGAGTCAAGTGTGTACACTGGAGAGGAAAGCTCTGACAGAACTGTTGACAGGGCAGGGGTAAAGGGCAGTGGAGCTCCAGGATGCAGTACTTCCTAGGGGCAGATCACATGGTTGAGAAGCCAACAGGGAATTTAGAGACTTGGGAGTTTTATGTCTATCAATTGTAGCTTTTCTTTAATATAAATATGATATTGAGAGGTGTATAAATGTAATATTCATATGCACTATAAGACATTATATGATACATACACATTGTATACACATTATTCGATAAGTAGGATGTATCAGCTGGTTCCATCCAAGCAGCCTAAGGCACTTCATATGACAGTTACTCCTTTCTGGGGATAACTTTGCAGTGAAGGCACGAGAGGTCTGAGCCGTGTGCATTGTGTGTTCCCCGCACGAGAGGTCTGAGCCGTGTGCAGTGTGTGTTCCCCGCACGAGAGGGCTGAGCGGTGTGCAGTGTGTGTTCCCTGCACGAGAGGGCTGAGCGGTGTGCAGTGTGTGTTCCCTGCACGAGAGGGCTGAGCGGTGTGCAGTGTGTGTTCCCTGCACGAGAGGGCTGAGCGGTGTGCAGTGTGTGTTCCCTGCACGAGAGGGCTGAGCGGTGTGCAGTGTGTGTTCCCTGCACGAGAGGGCTGAGCGGTGTGCAGTGTGTGTTCCCTGCACGAGAGGGCTGAGCGGTGTGCAGTGTGTGTTCCCTGCACGAGAGGGCTGAGATCTGCACGAGAGGCCTGAGTGGTGTGCAGTGTGTGTTCCCGGCACGAGAGGTCTGAGCCGTGTGCAGTGTGTGTTCCCTGCACGAGAGGTCGGAGCCGTGTGCAGTGTGTGTTCTCTGCACGAGAGGTCGGAGCCGTGTGCAGTGTGTGTTCCCTGCACGAGAGGTCTGTGCAGTGTGTGTTCCCCGTCGTGCCCCTGGCAGCTGTGCTCGCAGGGGACTTGAAGCACTCAGGAGGCGGCGGCAGCTCCTCAGCTCCCTCTCCATGGGCCCGGTGGGAAGCCTCCCAAGTGTGTCCCCACAAGGACACGGGGAGGGTGCTGTGGGCCGAAGCAAATATGCTGGTCCCTCGCTCTGTCCTGCCAGCAATCGGCAGAGCATCCATGGAGCAGGTGGGATTCCTGGAAGCCCTGGGGAAGGCACCGTGCTGCAGGAGCTGGCTGCAGGCTCACACTGGAACAGGATGCTGTACGGGGGAGGCTTTGCTGCAAGATTTCTTCCAAAGGGTGAGGGGTGGGGAGGGATGCAGGTGTCCAGTGGCTAACAGCTCTTCTAGCACTTGTTCTGGCATGCACTTTATGGAGATGGCAATGGGCACAACTCAGGACAAGCCCTGGCAGTGACGTTACCTAGATGACTCCATTTTGTCCTTGATCCAGGGCAGTAGAGAGAGGCTGGTGCTCTCCTTGGCAGAATGTGTGAAGCTTCTTGCTTCTTCCTTCCTTCCTTCTGTCCAGACCATTCCCAGGTGTTTCTCTATGAAAGCCAGAAAAGCTCCCTTTATTGTCTGTCACTGACTCTTTTATGAATATATTAAAAAGATGTTCAGTGCATTGTTGAGTCATTTCTGCCCCCAGTGCTCTCCAGGTACCTGTTAGAAGTGAGCCAAGAAGGTTGCATTTATGAAGCTGTTGAGGAACTCATGAATGGAAAACATTATTCTGTTTATAATCATTTGAGAGCTTTAGTGTTATTTGTTGTTTGATGACTACTATACTGAATTAAGCCAGAGGTTTCATATAAACCTCTGACATGCTTTATTTTGTTCTTTGGGTTTCTTGGTGCCGGTGTGAACGGGCTTATCCAGATTTTAAGTGACTTGATATTTACAACTATCCAGAGTAAACCTGGAAGCACAGAACTAGCATTTATTGAATATGGAGATCGAGATAAATATCAGGTTAGTGAAAAGAAGCTATTGAACCACTTGGAGTCTATTGTTTTCTCTCTCTTGTACCCCCGCACACAAATGATTAAAATGAAGTCATGGAGCAAGTGTGAGAGTCCGCGTTCTTCCTTTGACTTGCTCGGCGACAAAAGCCAAATGTGGTCCTCTGACTCCTTCTGCTGGACTTGAGATAGAACTACTATAGAAAAAATGGAATATTCGGTCTGATACGGACCGAATATAGAAGACGTGTGTTTCCCGGCTCCGGGCAGATCGCCTCTGAATCCGCTTCGATCCGGCCCGAGAAGGAGACCTGCGGCGCCCCGATAGGCCGTTCAGCTTCGCCCCCGAGGCTGTGCTGGAGCCGACCGGAGTCGGGTGCAGCCCCGGCGTCCGCCGTGCCGCTTTCCCACTCCCCGCGGCTTCTCTGCCGACCCGGCATTCGCCAATCCCTGCATAGGAATTCCGGCACTCCTCGCTAATGAGCCGTGCGCTGCGGCTCTGAGCCTCAAACCGCCGCTTGCCTGTAGGAGCTGCTTCAATCCGAGCTTCTTCTTAAAGCGACAGCGTGGCTTTTATTGCCGGTGGCTTGGCCGGGCGACTCCGGCGTTGCGGGCCGCCATCTTGACTACGGGCGGCCGCCATTTTCTCTGTGAACTACGTTACCCAGAAGGCTGCCGTCCCGGAACTACCGGCAGCCGCCATTTTGTTGCCCAAAACTACAAATCCCATCACCCTACAGGTTTTCCTGTCGATGCCATCTTACCGAGCATCGGCGAACGCGTTTGGACTCTCAACCGCTGACCAGTGTTAACCCGTAATAAACTGCGTAATTCACATATTGATTATTGGTCTCGGTAATAATTCCTGAGCGTGGTAAAGGGCTATTTTCGGTCTACCCTTGAGAGGCGAGCGCCATGTGACCGTCTCGGCCTCAGCTATAATCCCCTCCAGTCCCTTTGGGCGGGGAGGAAGTCGTGGGTATCCTGAGCCGGTACCCGCTGCTACCGGACCGCGACAGCAGGTAAAGGTATTTCTCCTGAGGGGGTGAAGGGATAATCTTGCATGACTAACGCCTTTTGATTAGGGGCTGTTTCAAAGAGGCAACTCTCAGATCATTGCTGCACCCATGTAATTAACCTGCTCTCACTTATGGTTCTGTTTATTTCTAGAGGATGAAGCAGATTCCATCTCCAAGGATTTTGACAACACATCTGAATTATGATTGCCTCCCCACGTTTATGTTCAAGAACAAAGCCCAGGAAGGCTTTTTTTTTTTTTTTTCCACCAAGAGCAAGCCTCATCTCTTTGACAGTAACAGCATGCAAGAGTAATTGGAAGAGTAATTTTGGGGCCACATCCTTTTCTTGCACCCAAGCATGTGGCACTGGGGGAGAGCAACTTGTAGGCAGTGGGAGCATCGTGATTCCTGGGCTGGCTTAGCAGCTCCTGCAGTGTAGCCTCGGAGGTGCTGTAGTTGACATAAACAAGAACAGATCTAGAGGCTGTTGCTCAGAAATGGCTGGAGTGCCACACTTTCCTCTTTTATTCTGCTCTTTTCTGTGCACAGCTGTGGTGGGAGTGAATGTGGCAGCAGGGACATTGACTGTCTTCTTGCAAAGAGTCATATGGTTAAAGCTGTTATTTCTGGTGCTTGGTCACTGAACAGTGTTAATATATAGCACTTAGAGGGTGTAGAAGAGGTGAAGGAAATGGTTAAAGGATGAGGATTTTTTCCATGTTTCTTGATCTTTATTCCTACACGAGGTAGAAAGAAAACCAGAATGGGTAGAACAACAACAACAACAAAAAAAATGAATGCGTGTAACATGTTTTTGGAAGTGTTTACCCTTCCCTGGGGATTACAGTCTCTTAGGATTTCAGGTACATTATTGTCATGCTTTGAAAAATGGGAGATGGCTGTAACAGCTGTGGTTTCCTGAAGGAGAATCAAACACAGCTTTTCCCAGCAGGGTTTGGCAAATGGTTCCAAATAACTTCTCAGGTCTTAGGTAGTTATGGGATTGTGTTCAGTGACAATATTACAGTCCTTCCAGTTGCATCTTTCTACAATTGCTTCATGTCAAAAGCAAATCTTTGAAGTGGTAACAAGGTCTCTATTATGATCACATTGTAAATTTGTCCTCCATGCCTTAAATAATAAAATATTTTATAGCTCCTAGTATGTTATTGATTACATAATGTTTGGTTAGACTCTAATTTCAGTTGCCGGGGGAAAGACGTGATCCAAAATAGTTGACCTCTTTCTCCTACTCCAGATACTAGTGCTGTTTCAAAACTCTAACAGCTGTTTCATTTTTCCATTTTCACAACGATGTGCCAGACTTCCCCAGCTGCAGCTCCTGGGTTGAGTTCTTCTTGGAGTTCATGAATGGGAAAGGTATTGTTGTAGTTACTGAATGTAGCTGAAGAAGCAACAGCAAAAAAATAATTTAAAAAGTATTAAATGAGGCCAGTGGGAAAACAGCTGTCTCATAATTAGTTTACTGATGGCCATACATCATGATAAAGAAGGCAGCTGAATGCCAGAATGGGGAGAATGTCCAAAAGGTGCTTTGCTTCTGGATATTTTCCTCTTCCAGGAAAGGATGAGGGAGTTGCCTGGCAGCTTGACAATGGCATTGAGTCGAAATTCTGCCACTTAGTGGTGGAGGAAATGCTATGGGTACGAACTGGTAATGAAATGACAGTTTTTTGTCTTTACTGTTTCTGCATACCTTGCTAATTTTACATTTAGACTTAGATTTAGACTGATGTCTGGCTTTTGCTTTTAAGAGTTGTTTAAAAGTCAATACAATAACAGAGGAGAAGCACATAGTGAAATCTGGATTTCTGTGTGGAAACCATTTACCTACAAAAGTCCAGAGTCTGTCATTCTGTTGTGCAGTGCAGTATCACAGGAAGGACAGGCCGTTCCATTTGTTCACTCTGATGTAACCAAAAAGCAGCAGAAGGTGGTTCTTCAGTCAGAGAGAAGTAAGTACACAGCAGGAAAAAAAGGTCACACTGATGCTGTTTTCTCCTCTTTACAGTTGGTTGGGGATCGTATTTTGATTGTGCTGTCACCTGGAGCAAACACTCTGAGGATGAGAGTACTATGGTCATAATATATGAAGACCTGAAAGAGACAAAGCAGATGCTGTGCACTGACAGGCAAAACACACCTGAGCCCCTTCCCTGACATCTGCTGAAATTAACAGCAGAAGGCAGAGGCAAAAAGTTATCAAATTAACAGCAAAAATCAAGTTGATTTCAGCGACAAGTTGAGTCAGAGTATACAAAAGCTGAGCTCCAGTGTAATGCAGAAAACATCCTGTGAAGGAAAATATACGCTCTTAGTAGCTGATGGCAATGCACATTACTGATGCACAGGCAACTCCTGTCACGTGTGGCCCTGCTGTTGTATTGCTTTCAGAACCTGACTGCCAGTGTGGGACAGATAGCTGAATGTTTGGGTTCTCCCCAACAGCAGAGCAGATCCAGTCCACTGCAGACAGGGCTGTTTTCCAGGCAGTGAAGGATGAGGCTCAGGATACTCGTGGTGCTGTTGGCTCAATTCTTTTCCACAAAGGTAAAACATCCTTACATTTTGCCAGGCTGGTGAATGGTAGCACTGCATCTAGGGCAGACAGGAGTTTGGATCACTAGGCAGTTAATCTTTCTGTGTAATTTTCAAGGTTGAGGGTTAAGAAACTCTGATTGTGCTTCAGGAAGCTGTCACTTGATTTCATCACAAAGGCCAGGACCATTTGCTAATACCCTGCACGCCCTGCAGTCATGATATGCAGTAAGCACCAATTAAACCAAGAGTTTTATTTTGGCTTCTGTGAGTGCTGGGGGTAGCCTGGCACTCCTGAGTGCCCAGAGTGCCTCCACAAGGTGTTTCTTCTTGGGTTTTCTAAATGACTCTTGTGATGGCCTGTGAATCTCAGTCAACATGTGGAATCCAGACACTCCACAGACAGAGCTGTGTCTTTCAGTCATGGATCAAACTAGAGCTGTAGACTCAGACAAGCTCATACTGTGGGCTCTCCAAAATCTAGGTAAAAGGTAGACTGCAGTTTAGGGCAGTGTCTTGTTGTAGTGCACAAAGGTCTTGCAGTTAAAAGCCAAATCTTGGAACTTTCTGGGTTAGTTTCACAACTCCTGGTCATGTTTTATGGTCTTTGCAGGTATACAAGGCACATGCCAAAGCTATGAGAGCAAACCAGAAGTTCCCTGTGTTTGCTGTATGTTCACATTCTATCAAGGACACCAAACATAAGGCAAATCAAGAGTATGTTCTTGGGTCAGAGATTCTTTTCTTGCAGGGAAAAGAAAATGAGAAGAAATTAATTACCTTGAAATGTGATGATAAAAGAGACAAGGGTTTTTTTTGTTTTACTCCTTGGTTCTTACAGTCCAGGGTAATATTACACTTTTCTTTGTATTCCAGGTGTTGTTGGAGACTGGAAAAATCCTTTCATTGAAGCTCAGAACCAGGAACTGGATACCAAATTCAAAGTGTGCTTAGAAGGAACTAAGCTGGGAGCAAAGTTAGAATATGATATGTGCTGAAAGGCCTGAACTTCCTTTACAAAAGAAACTCATGTTCAGGCTGCTTTTCATTCACTTTTATGAAATAAAATGGAAACCGGGACTATATCTGATGTAAAATTTTTGGAAATGCATGGTTTGCAAACCTGTTTTTGCTGTCCTAACACACACAAGCAATCTGTGCTCATGCAGTTAACATCATTGACTTCACTGCATTCTCATAAATGACCTGTAATTCTTCGGCCTCACTTGGTTTTCAACACTAGTTTTTAGCTATGATTTCATGTTAACATGGTAGAATCCTCTGTGCAATATATATACGGTAGTTAAACCTGCTGAAATCACTAGTAGTATATTTAGTATGCTGGAAGAGATTTTTAAAAGCAATTGTGAAGTGTTGTTTTTATTCTTAATTTCTAAGTTCATAGTATTCATATAAAATTTTAATTTCTAAGTCCACAGTGTAAAGTGAAATCTCCAGAGGTCTTGTAGTTGTCTTGCTGCTTTCTGTGTGCTGATAAATGTGAAAAAAAAGTAAAAGAAGTCGATGGTGGAAATTCTCTCCTTCTTCCAGCAACAGCATTTTTTCTTTCCTTTGATAGTGTGAGATTTATGCCCAACAGTAGTACATACGATCTCAGAGCCAGGATGTGGATTTTTTTCTGGACATCTGGGAGCTTTGAAGTGCCACTGTCCAGAATGGGTGTCCTTTGCTGGTGCCAGAAGACTGGTGTGCACAGGACAGCTGAACACTGAATGGCCTCATAAAGGGCTGTGTTTTAAGGCTGCAGTTTTTCCTTGGGAGGCTGGTTAAACATTGGTCTTAGCAGCATCGTGTTCTCCCCACCAGAGACATTTCTTCATCTCTGGAGAGAAGGGATACAAAGGAAATGTACTCAGAGATGTGGGTAATGGGCACACAGTTGCTAATATAGCCAGGAGGGGAGGTTACAGTCTTCCTCCTCATAGTCTGTCAGCTTCCATCTGAGAAATAATTGTCTTTAGTGTGGTAAATGACTTGGCAGAAGGAGTATTTGTTACAGCAATATTGGGTAAAGAATATACCTTATCCAGGCTAAAAACTCACGTGTTGGGTACTTGAGGTTCTGACATAGGTGGACACTGTGAGACCACCTGCTGCACACCTTATTAACTGGTGGTGAACACAACAAACTCCCAGTCATTCATTTTGTGCTAAGGAGAATATAAAAGTCAGCCAGTGACAAAGCAATAATTACAACAAATGAACTTCAATGCATTGCTAGGGAACGTCTTGTCATTTTGTAGTCAGATCTCAGCAAAATCTTGTTTGTCTGTCTTTCCTGACGTAGTCCCCGTTCTAGTATGTTTGCTGTAGTGATGAAGCTTGTATACAGCTCACTGGTGGTGTAAAAAACCTCCAGCTGTTGGTCCTTCAGTTTAAGTAGCTAAGATGCTAGTGTCCAAAGACTGCCATTCATGTGGTGGGAAGAAATTACTGATGCAGATGTGAATTTGAATGAAAAACTAACAGCTGTAATAATGGTAATTTAAAGCAAGTAAATCAAAGTGGGATATTAGTGAGGGTTGAAGAGGAAAACAGAAGACATAAAACCAAACCATATCAGAATGAAGTGGGTTAATTCCAAACAAATGGAAGTTTCGGGTTGCTAAAGCTCTCTCAAACAGCTCTGAGGTTCCCTATCAGCTTTACGTATGCACTGAGAAAAGCAGCAGCATTCCATGGCTGTTTGCCTCAGCTGTACCCGCCCCAGCAGCAGGTCAAGGTCGTTCCTAAGCAGTTAATTAAAGGAAGTTCAATAGGCTTTATTGAGGATGATGTTGAAACAGGAGCACTACTTCCTATTTAAGTAGATTGCCTGATAGGTCAATAACAGCCAGCCTGTCCACTTAAACTTCTGTATTTCTCATGTAAGATTACAATGAAGTATTTCAGGGTGTTTCAAGAGGGAGTCCTATCTCAAGCTGCTAAATAGGCTACTCTTAAATTTTTACACCTTTTGACCAGCAAGGTTCTCTAAGGTGGTTTAACTATCTATCTGAGGGAATATTTTACAGATGACATTCTTAAATTTCTTCAGTTTGATCTGCACATTCCTCTCAGTGCCTGTTCACACACTCAGTAGTTGCCAGCTAACCCTAAGCATTAAAGAACATTGGATATAAGACCAGTGTTTTTGCAGCTTTCTGTGTGTTTTAGTTTTGGTTCTGTTGAAAATGGTGTGGTGGGGTAACAGGGAAGCAAGCTAGACATAATGTCACTGGAGGAAGGGAGAATTTGTATCTTCCTCAAGCACTTAAGCAGATTCAGGGTGAAAAAGCACTGTGAAGTGCTTTGAGGCGGTGGCATTCAAGGTCAAATCCAGTAGGCCACAGTGATTGCAGCTATCAACAGCAGCTAAACTAAGTGAAAGATTCAAACCCAACATAAAAATGAAGCTACTCATTGTGGAAAATCACCAGTCATGTATTCTTTGAGCTATACATATAAGGAGCAATTTTAGATTTATATTTTCCATTTCTATATTATATACTTTATATCTGTTTTTTGCTTTTATAGGTTTCTTTTTATTATGGTACTCAGCAGTAAACCTTTAAATGGTACTTTTGACACTTAACATTTAAGGAAGATGTTGGATCATTCAGCTTCTAAAGAAAAGGTTTTTTTCAGCCCTTGAGTGCAATTTTAATTTAATTTTTTCTGTATTTGTGACCAGCTTCCCATGTACCATTTTCTGGCAGGCGTAGGTATTTATGATGTCCACATTTATGGTGACTGGTAAATGCTGCTCTATTAGTAGTTCTGTCACCTCCATTTCCCTTACGAACTGTTCAATAACAATCATAAGGCAGGAAAGTATATTAAAATTATAATGAAAAAGAGAAATTGGAGGTCTTCTCAGAAAAGAGAAACGTAAATGTGTCTTTTTTTTGTTCAAGAGGTGGCTCTGTTGTGTGTGTTCAGGGTGCCAATAAACCATCCAAAAAGGAAAAGAATTCTGGTACTAGGTTACAATAAAAGTAAAATAGGATCAAAGCAGACAGAACTGAGCTCAATTTTCTCATTTATGAAATGTGAACATTTCATATTGCAGCATTATGTTGTACATTAATTGGAAAGATAATTAATGTTGAATTACAATAGAAGTGCTGTAAAAGTACAGGGCACATATGACATCCACAGGAACATACATTTTTCCTGAGGGCAGACTGACTATTAGAAAGGATGCCAAATGGATTTATAATGAAGGGGAACATGAAATACAATCATTGCAATCTTGTTATGAAAGCAAATTCCTGGACTTGTATTCTAATGCTCTTTTTTTCTTGTTAAATTCCCAATGCTTTGATCTGAATTTGGCTGAATGATCACTTTTGGTGGGTATTAGCACTTTCTGTTTTACTCCTAATGCACTGCAGAGCTTGGCCATTGAAGTGCTGGGGTCTAAACCCTGAGCCCTGAATCAAAGTTGACATATGGGTGACTCCCACAACCAGGCAGAGGATTCTTCAATAGCAGGAGAAACCTTCCTCTTGGTTTTGTCTCAAGGCCTGGCCAACCTTGGGTGAAAACCAATTAGGAAGCCAGCACCAGGTGTCCCATCCGTGAAGTTAGTAGTATGGGAGCTGGTTCTGCTTGCAGTGAGCTGGGGAAGTTTATCTGTGGGTGGATGTGCTGTGTGGGATTTCCTTGTTACTGGAAGGGCTCCTTGGCTGTCCTCTGTAACCAGAGTTCCCAGGAGCAGCGGGACAGGACTGGGAGCTGGAGAGGACAAGGATGGCGTGGCTGGCACTGCATCTCCTTGGCAAATGCTGTGATGACTTTGCATGATTGTGATCGGACTTTTGGTTTGGCTTATTCCTTCCTCCTTTACCAGGTCCTTGGCTTGACTTACTCATTCCTTGGTTACATTATCTACTATAAGTAGTTATACTGAACTGTTTGTTCTCCCTGCTGTTAACCATATCATATTTGTCCTGTATTCACGGGAAATGGATAGTAAAGTCTGTTTTCTGCTGATGGCCATATCCTTTAGGCTAGGCCACATAATTAGCAAAACAGCAATGTCAGGATTGATGCTAAGGAGAGAAATAGAGAACAGCATCATTATGAATAAGAGCATACTGTATCAGTGCTGTGTCTGAGTGCATTGCTAGAGCACTCTGGTAAAATGATATTTGCATTCATATGTTTGTGGTCATGGATACAATTGTCCTGTATCGCTATTGCACTTTGTAATACTTGCAGATTGGATAATATGAAATATTAGCTGATAAAATATTCTGTTTGCATCTGAATGCAGTTTTTTATATGATCACTTGGCTTCTGCAAAAACTTTAGAGGCTTGAAGAAGATAGAAAATTAGTCTTTGACTTTGCTCAAAATGTGAGGCCATTGGGAGCAGCTGGGAAACGAAAGAAGGCTGGGAAACTGGTGTCTTGGGAGGCTTGTGTACTTGTGAATAATATAAGGTCATTGACATATGCTCGTGGGGTCTCTAGCGAGTTCCCTGCTGTTTTGCATTTTACAAGCCAGTGAAGCCATTTTCATTACTAGAACACTCATTAGTGTTTCCCCAGCAGGTAAATAAGCCATAGTTTCATTACTGCATATTTCTGAGATATCCATAGGCAATGTATTTATATTCAGAGGAAAAAAATGAAATATGAGGTAATCTTAGGCATTAGACATATGTCCCAAAAAATGTTAACACAGCTCCCCCCAACAAACAACTAAAAATGGAGCACTTATATCCTTCCCTCTCTTTAATTCTTTTCTGCAGGCACAGAGAGTAATTGGAATATATTCTGCAGATGACTGGGCCAGTCTCTTTTTTTTGTTTTCAATTTTTGAGTGAGTATTTATGCTGACTACAGTTTTAATCTTTTCCAGTCTCTCAGCACAATCCACCCTGTTTTTTCCCTGATGGCATGGAATCTTTTTTCCTGACTTTTATTTATTTAGAAAATGATTTCTTTTTTGTTTCTTTCTGTTTTTGTTTTTTGTTTTTTTTTTTTTT